TAGGTAAAGGTCATATGGTGTATACGACAAAATCGGACCAATAGTTTCCTATATACGGGTCTTGAAATATTCTCAAGGTCGTATTTTCTCACGATTATTTCTGCCAAACGTTAAACACCTGGTCGACCATACTCATGTCAGAATGAGGTCACGTATAGGTAAAGGTCATATGGTGTATACGACAAAATCGGACCAATAGTTTCCTATATACGGGTCTTGAAATATTCTCAAGGTCGTATTTTCTCACGATTATTTCTGCCAAACGTTAAACACCTGGTCGACCATACTCATGTCAGAATGAGGTCACGTATAGGTCAAGCTCATATGGAATCTACGACAGAATCGTTTCAATAGTTTCCTAGATACAGGTGTTGAGAAACTTCCAAGGTCATATCTTCTCACGATTATTTCTGCCAAACGTTAAACACCTGGTCGACCATACTCATGTCAAACTGAGGTCAGGTATTGGTCAAGGCCATATGGATGCCACGACAAAATCGGCCCATTATCTTCCTAGATACGGGTCTTGAACACAATATATGTTCGAGTTCATCTAAAATATGTTAATCGCGTTCAAAAGCGTACTTGAAATTCACCTCTTATATGTATATATAGTTATAATTTAACAGTATTTTTATATCCATGATAAAATTACTATACTAGTTACATCATATTATGTTGGCGGTGATGAGAACACATGGTATTCAAGGAAATACATGGGCATACAGCTATGTGGTTCATCAGTACAACCCGTTAATGAGTAAGGCTTGGAGCGAGCTAAATATAGCTTCATCACATCCATACTAATTTAACATCCGTCGAGTTACATGTCCTGGTTATACATGGGAAATAACGACTGTGATTCTCTGGCATGACTCATAAGGTTCAGTTTAATACAAGAAATAATATATAGTCCATGCCCCAAATGTTATTTTTCATTTACATGTAACGAAAGATTTAAGTACATAACACGCGTTCTTAAGTATGACGCTGACTTATAAGGATGAATTATAATCGATTTTAAAAGATTCTGATGATTGTTGGGTTTTTAGATCTTGTGTATTGTTTCATGTTAAAACATACATAATATTTCGAGAAATGTATCTGCTTCGTCTTCAAGTATAGTAATCCAAATCACTGTACAGTGATTTGGATTAGCTCATTTTAATGGACCACACAGAATAAGTGCCCCTTTCGGCATACCTGAAGACGAGGACAGATCCAATACTCAAAACTTTGTGTGTTTTATGACACCAGACGATAGACAATGTCCAAAAACCCATCGATCTAGGGATTATTCTATTTTATCTTAAAACACAATTTATAACTTGTGTTGGGCAAGGCCGTTGTCTAGGCAACACGGAGTTTTCCTCCGTGGCATCCCAACAATTACTCCATTCACACACAGAAGAAGGCAATGGCAAACCACTTCTGGATCATCTGCCAAGAACGCATATGAACAGGTCCCAGTCCGAGAAAAAGATGGAAGGATCCTTAGGGAATAAACTCAGAAGGGTTTTCGGTAACAAATGCCTTCTCCGAGGATTCGCACTATTTAAAATGTATTTGGAAAGCTGACTTCAGTATCGCAAAGGAGAAATAAACCACGACGTTTCAGAAACTCGCTCTGTTTGCGTACCTACTTAGTTGGGTCCGCTACCAACTGTCTCAACCTAGGTGGATATGTTGAGACAGTCGGATGACAGCCACGGTGGTCTAGCGGTCAGAACGCTATCCTTGTTATCCTGGGGTCTCGGGTTCGATTCCCGGCGGTGCCCGAATTTCTAACTTGTGTTGGGCAAGGCCGTGGTCTTGGCAACACGGAGTTTTCCTCCGTGGCATCCCACCAATTACTCCATTCACACACAGAAGAAGGCAATGGCAAACCACTTCTGGATCATCTGCCAAGAACGTATATGAACAGGTCCCAGTCCGAGAAAAGGATGAAAGGATCCTGTTCATATGGACCTGTCGTCAGACAGAACACTAAATAAATAATAATAACTGTGACTAAAATAATCTAACCTGCCTTTCAATGTACATGATAATTCTTGTTACATTACGATGAAATAACAACTCTGGCTGTAGCCTCGATGGTATGATATAGCCATTTGCCTTTGTTATATACACGATAACTTCGTGTGTTACATGCAGTGTTCTTACACGTAAGTTTTTCAAAAAACGCTTAAGAGCTCTGTTTGTCGTGTAAACACGACTCTAATAAATACGTCAGCCTGTCTCTGTCTTTATCAGCAGGGCTGATGGGTAATTCTCGAATCTTTTGATTACGTCATTCTAACGTATGTTCCCTACGGCATTTAATGTAAAATAATTTATGTAAACAATGCAGAAACCATGATATTCTAATTCATAACTGGCTTATCATCGCAGTGTGGGTTGTTTAATGTTCAGGGATTTCTTTCGAGTGAACAGTGCCTACATCTTTTCTTTAAAATCGATAGTGACGTTGTAATATTCTTGTTGTAATGGTATATTTATTTTTGTTAAAATCTCTATGTAATTTGTCGCTTAAAAGCTTCTTTGTTGAGTCGGTTTAGAATACCTGAGACAAAGGACACCTTTGATCCATAAAGTACCGATAGTTGCAAAGCTAACACGCGTCATCTGGAATTTTAATCTATCGTAATAAAGATGGAAGATAAACCAAAGATTATATGTAGAAGCTAACTCTTACCGCGACAGTACCACAGCTCTAGGGCTTTGACCGTGACTCTAACCTCGGAGTAATGTCAGTTTCAGTCAATGTAAAATCTTATGGTGCGTGAAGTTGGCTTGGAATTGGTCTTCCTGTGAGTAATAAAGATTTTTCTCAGAGTTATTATTACACTTTTGCTCTGTCCTATCGCCGTATCTCAGATATGCGACAGTCTCGAATATCCAATATTTACGACATCTTGCATTTTACATCTAACTAGACAAATGGCTCAAATATTATTAATATAGTTTATTTATTTATTTCTTAAACTTTTAAGACAGATTTTGTGTGGTTGTTTCGTAAAACTTTCACTCTGTGTATTTCTGTACCAGAACAGATCAAGTGTAGACCTAGAATAAGATGTCATGTATTTCAGATTCGATTTCGTTTATTGTTAGTCATGTAGATATTATTTTGATACCATACCGGGTTCGATTCCCGGCGGTGCCAGAATTTATAACTTGTGTTGGGCAAGGCCGTGGTCTAGGCAACACGGAGTTTACCTCCGTGGCATCCCAACAATTACTTCGTTCACACACAGAAGAAGGCAATGGCAAACCACTTCTGGATCATCTGCCAAGAACGTATATGAACAGGTCCCAGTCCGAGAAAAGGATGGAAGGATCCTGTTCATATGGACCTGTCGTTAGACAGAACACTAAATAATAATAAATAATACATTATAACCTACTCGGGGAAGGAAAATAATTCTCGATAAGCTAGTAAAAAAAATTCTCTCGCTCTATAGAGACTGAAGTTTCAATAACGTGTGTACGAAATCCTGTCACTGTAAACGATACTGAACCATGTAAAATCACATCCATGTGTTAGCATATTATTTCTTAAAATTTATTTTATAGAAGGTAACATGACTAATCGTGGAATGTTTTGTACTATTCTCCCATCTAAATTTACGTCTTCCAACTTATCTTTTTCCTTAAGGTCTTATCATAAAATGTAGTACGATATATCACCACTTACGTGCGTGCTACATGACTTGCCAATCTTACCAGCCTTTATTCGATTATACTACTAATTTTATTTTTTATTTATTTTTAGTGTTCTGTCTGACGACAGGTCCATATGAACAGGATTCTTCCATCCTTTTCTCGGACTGGGACCTGTTCATATACGTTCTTGGCAGATGATCCAGAAGTGGTTTGCCATTGCCTTCTTCTGTGTGTGAATGGAGTAATTGGTGGGATGCCACGGAGAAACCGGGGAAGCCCCCGGAGGCAAACTCCGGGTTGCCTAGACCACGGCCTGGCCCAACACAAGTTATAAATTCGAACCCGACACCCCAGGATTACAAGGCCAGCGTTCTAACCGCTAGACCACCTCATCTTATTATTATTTAGTGTTCTGTCTGACGACAGGTCCATATGAACAGGATCCTTCCATCCTTTTCTCGGACTAGGACCTGTTCATATACGTTCTTGGCACATGATCCAGAAGTGGTTTGCCATTGCCTGCTTCTGTGTGTGAATAGAGTAATTGTTGGGATGCCACGGAGAAAATCTCCGTGTTGCCTAGACCACGGCCTTGCCCAACACAAGTTATAAATTCGGGCACCGCCGGAAATCGAACCCGAGACCCCAGGATTACAAGGCCAGCGTTCTAACCGCTAGACCACCACTGAATAAGAAATAGAGAAACTGGGAGAGGTTAGAAAACACGATAGTAATCAGTAAGACGCCTTGCATAAGAGAGCAGCATCTCAAAACTGTCAACAGTTAAAGCAACAAAATTGCTTAAACTGTGTCCATGCTAGGTAACAGTATTTCATGCTTTACAGCCACATGACTCAGTTAGCAGGATTAATTTCTACAGCTGGATTTGGAATCAGCTCATGTATGAAATTGACCCTTGTTTGACTCTGCTTGTATAGGGACAGTATTATAACACAGGTAAGTTTATTTGATTGTTTTAAAAGAGAAATACTTGAATCACAGCAGGATAATTTTGTAATGCTTGGAAGTGAATCAAACAGTTCTTATCAAGAGCCAGGAAATTACAGTTGTTCTGTCAATGGGAGCACTGTACCAAGGGAATGATGCAAAACACTTAACATAAAGTTGACTGTAAATTAACAATAACAAGGTAAGAGATTAAAAACAAATATCTTTTGTGTCAAGAGAGGGAAGAAATTACAAAATAGACACTCTCAGACATGCCAAATAAAAATATCATGTGTTCCATGTATTCAAGATCCTGGAATAATGATATTTCTGAGGATAGATTAACTCAATCAGTAGACAGTTTCCTAGCATACATAAAAAAAAGTTTAAGAATGGCGAGTACGAGTGTGGGCCAGAAGATGCCCACGAACTGTAAATCCCTTATGGCATATATCACACTTGAAGGGTCGCTCACCAGTATGGGAGCGGATATGCACCCCAAGTGCCCCTCGCTGTGTAAATCCCTTACCACACTCATCACATTTATATGGCCTATCTCCGGTGTGCGTCCGAACATGAGCATCAAGGTCCCTTCTTACTGTGTAACTTTTACAACAATAGTCACATTTATAAGGACGATATCCCGTGTGTATTCGATTATGAACCATAAGGTGACCTTTACGAGCAAAACTTTTAGGGCAAACTTCACATTTATACGCCTTCTCTCCAGTATGCGTACTAATGTGAGGCACAAGATTATCAAGCCTACCAAATCTCTTGTTGCAGAATTCACACTTGAAAGGTTTGTCAGCATTATGGATTCGCATATGGGCTACGAGTACACCACGAAGAGTGAAACTTTTAGTACATACTTCACACTTAAACGGCTTATCACCAGTGTGTTTTCGATTGTGGGCAACGAGTTTGTCGCGAGTTATGAATCCTTTACTGCACACGTCACATTTAAATGGTTTATCTCCAGTGTGTATTCTCGAATGATTTAGAAGGTGGCGGGGCTGAGTAAAGCCCTTACCACATACATCACATTTGTAAGGTCTGTCTCCAGTGTGAATACGAGCATGAATTAAAAGATTTGAATTGCGGAAAAACCCTCTAGAACATACTTCACACTTGTAAGGTTTTTCGCTACTATGAATTCGAGAATGAGATATAAGATTATCCCGTCGCGAAAAGCTCTTACTACAGAAGTTACAATTGAAGGGTTTCTCACCAGTGTGGGTTCGATTATGTGCCACCAAAAGACCAGGTTTCAAGTAACTCTTACCACACACTCCACACTTGTAAGGCTTATCTTGTACTATAGCACTCACAGAACAATCACCTTGAACCAAAGCCACATCTTTTGCAGTACAATCACCTTGAACCAAAGCCTCATCACTTTCAGTACAATCATCTTGTACCAAACCATACTCATCCACCCTGTAAGAAAGGCAGTAAGTATTAAAGCAGACAGAAACATAGTGTGATCTTCTGAGTAGTAATGCTGTATGGACTTCTTGGTAGGTAGGTGTTTTAAAAGAGCATACTGCTATCTGCCTATAAGTCCAAATAGTGTTACTACTCAGAGGAATGATGTTGACATCTTCACAAAAGTGAAAACCTTGGAACATCATACATTACTGTTGGTATTAGCTTAGTCAAGACTCTTTGGGATTTATGTTATGGTCACATGGCAAAGGAATATTAGAACTTTGTGGTGCTGTAAACTCCTGTACCTTAGCAGTGGAAACACTACCATCACCAAATCCAGAAAACAAATAAAGAATATCAGTCATAACACCACACATTCAAAAATATTTATATAAAGTATTGTTATAAGTTAGTGATTCACACAACAGAAACATATGCCAAGTAATACACAGTATTCCATCACATTCTTGTATTATAAGACTAGGAACAGCTCAAAAAAGAGGTAACACATTCAGACTTGGAACTTAAATAGATGAGGTGTCTTAGATTTAATTGAACAGATAAAATGTAAATGTGATTTGGTAAACTAAAAAATACAACCATGATCCATCTGTTATATGTTTGGTCATCCACATGAAACTGCAATTACCTGATTTATTTACTGTATAGTGCAAAATATTCTTTGAAAAGTTGTTTGTTTCTTGGCTTGTGAAAGAATACCTCACTTTCTTTTTGGAACCCTAAGGATAATCACTACATTCACAAAAAACCGCCACAAGACTCTATCCTGAGCTAGGTGCATCCACTTCGCTCCATCAATTCAACAGTGATTACTGACACAATAACGCTCACACCTCATTCAATTTCAGTTATCACAAAACCAATGCAATGGAACAACCATATGATTGTTACAAAGATAGTTTTTAAGTACCTCTTGGGAGAGTGATCAATAGCATCAAGTTAACTTATGAGATCCACACACAGACACTAAATGCATATGATACATCACACTCAAATACTGTGAAGTTGGCACATTTTAATTTAGAAGTAAATTCAAGTGATGCACTTCAAAATAACTAGAAGCCAAATCTCAGATTCTAATATACA